CTGAACAATCGCGGCAGTGAGTTGAACTCTGACACTTAAACAGGGTCAGACCACTGGCGAGCTTTTTGCAGAGTGAGGGGAGAGATCATTGCCCCGTCGGCGGGCCTCGAGGGATGTTTTAAATGGTGATAGAGTGTAGTCAGGTGAAACCGCAAAGTGTTCTGACTGTCCAGATGTTCAGATGTTTTCCTGCGGATCGTACAGGATCCTGTACTTCCCAAAGCTGTGTATACAGCCTCACACTGTATGTACAGCTTTATCAACAGGGAATCACAAAGTCTGGTACCTCGTCCTGGAATGCTGGGAAATGAGACAGAGCTGCGGTCCTGGTCAGCAAGCGGTCTTCTTGACAAGACAAACTAGCACCATAAACCCAGCGCAGCTCCATTCATCAGCACTTCTTTTCTGTGCCCAACCGACCTTGAAGCTGTCAGCGTTAACAAAGCCTATTTGGAAAACCTGAATTGAGATTGCACTTAAAATGCTAATGGTGAACTCTATGTGTACCCAACAATTTTTGATGTCTGACAAGGAATGACTGGCGGCCCCTTTACTGACAATGCAGGCGCATTGAACCTGCTTCAGTAAAAGCTTTTTCTGGAAGCTTTAAACAGGTCAAACCTTCTAATCAGCTTTAGATCCGGTCATAAAATGACTATCTGACAGTCCTAAACCAGCATCTGGTGCAATTATATCAAGACACTTTTGGGAGATTTCTCATGAATATCAATATTTTTTGCATCTCGTAAACCGTCGTCATCTGGTTAATATGCATGTGTCTTCTTTTTTTGTAAATTCTAAACGCAGTTCAAAAGAGTGCACATCTGTTTGGTGTGAGTGATGACGAACAAGTGAGATGGTTCGCTAATAAGGGGTTTGGAAAGCTTGTGTGCATTCACATTCCAAAAGGATGTCTGCTGTTCTTTTGGCAAAAGCATCAGAAAATCAGATGTGTTAACTGTCGGAGAAGGAGATACTGTGGAGTGTGGACAGAGAGCCTGAATCCTCTGCTTGTTCTGCAGAGGAATGCTGCATGCTGAGGACCGGCCCGGCTCAGTGTGAGAGACGCGGCGACCCACATTCCAACTTATTACAGACCTTTAAGTTTAATGTGCACACAAATCAAATTATTCTTCATGACCATCTGCGGAGTTATGTTTAGCGAATTGCACGTTTCATGCAAATCTAACAAACAAGTGAACTGCAGCTAATATTAACATTTCTCAGTAGAAACGCTGTCGTGCAAAACAAGCTCATTCTCTGTGTGCGTAATTGCAGAAAGAGTTACAGTACATGCTCGGTTATGTTGTGTTTTTACTTTAAATACAGCTCACGCCAGCTTCAGCACCCGCATCAAGAGGATTTACAAATTGAAATGTTGTGCTTTCCCACATGATGGATTTCCCCACTGAATTACTACAAGCTTTTGGCTTTTTCAACCCTCCTTTGGCAGAGATTGTGCACATATAAGAGGGAGCCAGGTTCAGACGTGTGAGCACAGGCCCACTGAAGGGACCCTCCAGCTTTCTCATTCTGACTTTATCAGAGCAAACATCTGGTGGGCCTGGTGCAAATGACAGTTTATTGTTGAATGCTGTCCATGCGGCAGTTCGAGGACCTGCGGTCCACCTGTAGTGTTCTGACCCCGGGACACTTAGTGTCACTTCATGGGGAAGTTTTTCTTTTTTAGGTAGACAATGCTGCTGTATGTTCTGGTCTTGCTTGTGTGAGGATCTTAAAATTCTGAAAGGTTTAGCAAAGATGATACGAGACAGCGATCCCCTTTTTTATGTGACTTGGCCTAAAATAAGACTGTACTGCATAAATATTCTTGGATTTTCCACCAAGATGCTATTTTATATTTGACCCAAAGGGAAAGTTTGTGCAGTCAACTGAGAGAGTCTCTGGTAAAAACTTTCTGACGTCTCTATCGCTTATGTTCATTTTCCAGATTTCTTTGGTATTTTTGGCAATTGTCCGACTACAATTTGACTAATATCTCTGGTGACATGTATGTGATTAAAAGGAGTGCATATCACTCCACTCGCTGATTAAACTTCTGTAGAAACGTCTGGTGCGCGGAGGAACTGCATAATGGAATGTATTTTTATTGCTGTCCTGTTAGAGCTTGACTGGCCTCTCTGTGAGCTCAGATCCAAATGAAAGCATCTTTAGTCCTCAGACAGCACGCACAACATTCGCCCTGGTGTTTATGGTTGTGCAGCAGATAGCGGGGGTCTCCGGTTCAGCTAAACGCCTCGTGTGTTTAAGCTCTCAACAAGGCCAACTGCCGACCCCACTGATCTCCTGCACTCGGAGCAGTGGGGAGGCTTTGAACTGAGCAATAGAGCTCACTCATTAGTCACCAGGAGGTAAACCAAAGCATTTCTTCAAAGCACCAAAAATACGTCACGTGTTCTACAAAAACAGTAATTTTTGTGGTTCTGCTTCTAACACAAGGAAACATTATTACTGATCAAAGCAGGAAGGTTTGGTTTTAAGTTCGGTGCTGGTACCACCGGGCAATGTGAATGAACACACACATTGCTCTTTGTGTTCCTTGCATTTCCTAAAAATGTCCAGTTATTATGCACCGACTTTGCCAGAGTCGCCCTGGGTGATGGAGGAGTGAGCGGAGATATGCTGGAGGCCCAGCTGTTGGTCCCTGCCTGCCCTCGAGCAGCGACATTTAGCAGATGTCACACTGGTTGGAAAAGAGTTTTGCTTTTTTTTTTTTTTTTAGTGTCTTGTGGAATGTGATGCACAGACATCCATCTGTCCCTCAGTTGGCAGCTAAATTAGGGTTTTCAAAATTAGTGCATCATTTTGCACTTATAAATGTAAAAAAACAAAAACAGGTAAATGCAGCACAGCAGACTACAAAAAAGGTTGAACCCCAGACACATATAGTAAAATTTACAACGTCATATTAGTGTCAGAGCAGGTTCAATCGTAAGCTGCTGCAGTAATCCAATTACACTTTGCAAACAGATTTAGCAGGAAGAACATAGTTGTGATTCCAGCACGGAATCAATATATTATCATAAGCATCAAGACTTTGAAGAGACGTTGCTGTGAATCAGACCTGATGTTTTCATTATGGATTAATCTGTTCATTGCTTTGTCGATGAATCAATGCTGTCTGGTCTACAAAAAATCTAAAATGATGAAGTAAATTTGAGTTTTTCCTCAGAATACTACACTCTCAACTCCATGATTTGATTTTTCTTAGCCCATAATAAGCACACACTAGTGCACAGATAATGTAAGAGCTACATCAATCAATCAGAGTCTCACATCACAACTCCTGCGCTATGCCTGTAGATCTCCCTTCGGTTTAGGAAGCAGAAGTTTGGCGTTAGCAGGTCTAATCTGTGGGATACAGATTTGACAGTGTCTGTGAAAGCTATCTGCTTTTCATACTCTCATACGCCCCATGGTTTGCCTTTTTTGCAGATGTTTTGGATAGATTTATAAACCCTATCCATATTTTGGTTGCTTGTTTGTTTGTGGTCCCTTGAGAAATGTTGCATTCCCACCGCTATTGGAAAAAGCTTATGGTTTGGTGGAAGAAGTTGTGGTAACTTTCCACTACAGACATTACTTTACAAAGGACCACATGACCTTCAATACTACCGTCCTATACAAGTGACAGCAGATGCCCCTGCATCCATCAGAAACATTCACGTTTGGTCACCCACCAACAGCCTACTAGCTCCTGGTCTAACATGCTGCCATGCTGCCCTCCCTTCTAACCTCCACTGTCTCACTGCATATTGTGGCCTGACGTCTTGCTTCTCTCTCTCTCTAGAAGACAGTGGAGTCTCCCTGCTGCAACTGATCGGGGATCCTCCTCCAAGTGAGATCACCCGAGTCTACGGACCGGACAACACGGCCGCTTACGTCTTTGGCCCAGATGCCAACACGGGGCAGCTGGCACGCGCCCACCTCCCGAGCCCGTTCTACCGAGACTTTGCCCTCATCTTCAACCTGAAACCCACCTCCGACAGGGGCGGTGTCATCTTCTCCGTCACAGATGCCTCACAGCAGATCATGTATGTGGGTGTTAAACTGTCCCCCGTGCAGGGCGGCAACCAGAATGTCATCCTATACTACACGGAGCCTGACTCGCAGCAGTCCTACGAGGCGGCTCGGTTCCTCGTGCCCTCCTTGAGGGACACCTGGACCAGGTTTGCTTTCGCTGTGAGGGACGACAAGGTGATGTTCTACCTCAACTGTGACACAGACCCTCAGGTGATGCGCCTCGAGAGGTCCCCGGATGAGATGGAGTTGGAAGGCGGCGCCGGGGTCTTTGTCGGGCAAGCTGGAGGAGCTGATCCCGAGAAGTTCTTGGTGAGTATACAGGCTCTTTAACACAGAAGCTTACAGTGTGAAAGCTTTCAAAATAGAAACACTTAACGTGCACTGAGTAGATCAGGTTGATTGTTACGTCATAGAAAGGAATGGGCCGCTAACTTTCCCAAACTACTTCTTTCTACAACGAACATGAACTCTGATGAGACAAGACGCCTGCCTCATGAAGCTTTGGAACAGTTTGTGTTTTGATTCGCTAAAGTCATCATGTGAAACATTTTGGCTGAGTAACTCTCATGTGATCTAATTGCTCAAATTGGCCTGCTCTAAACCATAACATAAATGTCTGAATCACCCACCACCCTCTTTCTGCAAGTCTGCTAATAAGTGGAAGACCTCACAGTGGTGGCGTAATTAATGTCAGCCATTTGTATGGTGTAAATCTCAGCAGCTGGCTACAACAACTGCTGCTGAAGTTTATAGTTGTTCACCCGTGGCTACGTACGAGGAGAAAACATCCAAGCAAATATGTACAGTCTGCGGTAAATTGTTCATTCTGCCTCCGTGCATTCAATTATTTTAATGGAGGAACAACAGACAGCTTTCTTCACCACACATTTGAACTCTGTAGCAGTCATTACAATTACAACCCTAGATATAAAATATAGTAACTGTTGTGTAAGTGAAAGACAATTAACTTCCCATTGAGGTGAGAAACCACCTTTAACTGATGCAAGTTTATTTTAATTGCATCTCCTAGAAAATGACAAACACAGGAGGCTTTTACTGTCTGAATTTCAGTAACTGTTACTAGATGGTTGTTTTTATGGACATATAACGGTTGTAATTTTAGTGGATATAAACAACCGTGATAATCAGAGTTTTGCTTCTTAAATGTTTAAATTTGCTTCTTAAACACAAATAATGTTGCTGTTCTGTTACCAGGATGGTATTAAGACCCTGAAGCCATTAAGCTTTATTCTAGAGATTGTCAAAAAAGGACGATCTTCCCACTATAATTAACTAAAAAAAAAACATCTTTTAATCCTACTAAATTTATTGAGATTGCAAATAGGTCTGTCCCATCTGACTCCAAGCCCTTGAAATAAAGTTTCTGCTCTGCTGAAACATCATCTCTTACTTCCTTTCTCCACTGTAACACTTGTCTTAATCTTTTTTATTACTGTTTGAAGACAGCTGCTTTTTTAGTTGGAAGCCACCATGCGACTCTGCTACACATTTCAGGTTTTCCTTTTTTTGTTTTGTTGCACAAGCCCATCTGAAGTATCTCCTTGTGGTTGTATATTTTTTCCAGAAACATCCAACCACAAGGTTTCTAAACTTGTTATATGAAAGGAATCCTAACGATTCTTTTTTATTTCAGGACTTGTTGGCCACGTGCTATTTATTGACCCTAGCGTGATCCTAGGCTCCCAGGGTCTTGTGAATTGAATCTCCCTAATCAAATCAAGACTTGGCGAGCTTCTCTGAACATCTAAATATTTACATTATGTATTTATGAAATGGACATTCCAGTCTGAAATAGCACTTGTTTTGTTTTTCTTGTTATTCATCACAACCGAATACATTCTGTGGCAACGGTTTAGTCCTTCTTGTGAATAGAATCTACGATTTATTGAGAAGATCTAAAGAAGTTTAAGGAAAAAAAAACAAAACAGATCATAACATTTGATATAAAAAGAGCATAACATGTCAGCTAAACAGAGGAGTTAGTGAAACGGCCTTTGCAACTTGAGCACGCCCGTTAAAAGTCTGCTCAGAGACAGGGTTACCATGTCAAAGAGCTGTTTATCTTCAAAAGTCCTCTTAAAAAACCCATTTGACTTTTTATTTTTTTCTCAGGACATAAACGTGTCCTGAAGAGTCGACTTCAAATAACTCAGCAGCACAAAGACCACCTCTGCACACACGGCTAATGGCCCTTTGATAGGCAGGAAGATAGCATTCATGCTATCTGTGTGAGTATCCTGTGTGGGAACATGTATCAGATCGGGCATTTGAGGCAGAGATAGTGGCACTTCACAGGCGGCGGCTAAAACTGGAGACATCAATAGCCCCTCTGATTTTGTGGGATCGGGGAATTCCCTGAGAAATATTACCAAAACCCGAGCGCCGAGTTCAGAGATAAGAATCCATACTTGGATGTTGGAAGTAATGCATCTTGTGTGTGTGTGTGAGAGAGAACAAGTGCTGTTCTGACATGATTATATGTGTCATCAAACATCAAAACAGCATGCGCGTGTTTTGCAACAGGGTGTGATCGGTGAGCTGAAGGTGGTGGGAGACCCCCGTGCAGCAGAGAGGCATTGTGAAGAGGACGGCGATGACTCAGATATGGTGAGTGACAACATATCCCACTTGGGAGATAAGCGGCTGCATGTGACCTAAGAGCTGGAATATCCCTGCAGAAAAACACAAATACCTTATTTCAAAGGCATAAACTGGTGTCTGATGAAGAGATTGTGAGCAGACTTCAGTCAAACTGATTGTTAGCCAACACTCTTCTCACAATCAGTCTTGAAGAGTCTATTAAAAAAACACAAAAATAAAAGTTTAAGGATTAAACGGTGCGTATCTCATCCAGTGTAAGCTCCAAGCACTAGTGTGTGGAGCCAGTTGGCTTCTACTACTGACAGTAATAACCATGTATGCATTCCATGGCCAAGGTCCATACATCTGTAAATAACCAGGTTACATTAGTTAAGTGGTTACTGGTTCAACCCTGTCTTCTAAAGATTTCTTAAAGGAAGATAAGACTGTGACAGTAGCTTCCAGTTTCAAGGAGCCACAGAGTCTATGTAGGGAGTCATAAGACAACAGCAGCAGGACTTTCACCCAGGAGACTGTTGGGTTCATGTCCTGCATGGGACCATATCTGTTATTATTATTATTATTAGTAGTAGTAGTAGTAGTAGTATTATTAGTATTACTATTAGACTTGAGTTTGGTTTTCAAACACTGGTTAAGTTTAAGCATCAACACTGCTCAATTAATCTCCATAAAATGTTATAATTTGGGTTAAAATACGACCCTTAAACAACATGGTTAAAGCCTTGTCTCCATTTTCTGGATTACCAGAGCGATATGTCCCAACCCGTCAAATATCTGAGTGGTCACCTGAAGAGTGACAGCAGAACTATAAAATGAATGGTAAAGATGTGATGATTTGAACTGTTCATTTGTCTAGAAACGTCATTCTTGAAAGACAGGACCGACTGCTTACATCCAAGAATAGTCCTGTTATAAAACATTATGTTGTATCTGTGGATGCATCACATGTATGGCTGTTCTATTGTAATACCATCAGTGTCCACTGAGAAAAAACTGGCAGCAAGTCCAAGTGCTGTCACAGTAACCAGTTCTCTTAATACATCCGTAGCTGTAAATGTGCCAACTGAGAGAAAAGTCCAGCCATTTATTTACGCCAAAGGGCTAACTAACAGAAACAAAACACAGTAACACAGACCTCTCTTAAAGGATAACAGTACGACAATACAACTGTGAATATCTGTCATATGTGACAACTTTGAAGAAAAATGTTCAGTTCTTCATTTATGCCAAAAGTATAACTGAGCTTCACTGTGTTTTAAGTGTGGACACAACATTTTCTACATCCCAGGACCCTAATGATGCTTCAGAGCTGTGGTTAGCCTCAGATACTAATGATGATGCTAATAGCATAATCCATGATACGTATACATTTTGCAGTCACGTTTGACAGATGTTTGTTCTGGCACTTTTTTTTGTACTTCCATCTCTGTAACTGTAAGAGAAGTCTGTGTTAATTTATTTCTGACATGTGGAAACCCCCAATAGATTTGAAGCTCTGCTCAGCCAAACATCCAATGACAACTACACACCTGGTTTAGGTTGAATACGTCTAGTTGCCTCATGTCTTTGTCCAGTTTAACTCTGATGAAGACACAGTCGTGTTGGAACATTAGTCAGTCAGTGGTTGTGAACTGATCTTGAGTCCTGTTCTGTCTGTTGAGAAGCTGCTTATTCTGCTGCAGGTTGCTGGTAGATGTGTGGAGAACCCTGTTTGTTTTTACGTTCACGTCAGCATCTCTCTGTATCTCTGGATGAACCTTTTTCACTCTGATTTGTCGCAGTAAGGAAAACACAGGTGTGTTAGTGATGGCTGCGTTCCACTTAGGGGAGGTCCTGCTTTCTGTGCATACGGACTCACTGTCCTGACTCACTGGGACACTTAATGGACTGAGCCACCATAAGTTCCACCTGTGTTTAACCGAGTAAACGTCTGCTGTCACAAAGCTCTGTTGCGCGACGACGCCTCATTTATTTGAATGGAAGTTGCTCAGTGGCGCATATACTGATAACATTTACAAGCTTCCTCCGTGGTATACACGGATGTTCCACATGCACTGCAATTTGGGGCTCCTACTCTAAAATTAAAGCTGCAAGCAGCATTGGTCGGGTCCTCGGTTCTCGTTGGACCCTCATGCCCGTCTGACCGTTCTTCAAGTGAAACCTGCTTTAAGTTCAAGGAGCCATTTTTCTCTCTCTCCTCTCAGCCTCAGACTGTCAGTGAGTCACATGACCAGCTGCACTGACCTGTGATGATGTCACGATGACTCAGCATTTTTCGTGCCCCTGGGTGAGAGCTGAGAGTTTTACTCGCTTTCACTCATTTTAACTCTCCCATACAGCCACAATTTTCAGCAAATGTGTGTAAAAACAACACATTTTTGTAGGAAATCTTGTTAGGAAGCCCTCAGTGTCATTTTTAAAGCTGTAGGACCTTTAGTTTTTTGTGTAGATGACCAACTGACACAGCATGTCTGAACATGCCCCCATTGACACCCATACAAAGTATGAGCCAAGGCTGAGGCAGCTCATCAACTTTAACGGCTCGCCATTCGAAAACCGTTTGAGATACGCCAAATCCCTTCTGAACTTTTGTACATCAAGGCTTTGTCTGTGTCTTGTGCGATTTTTATGTTCATGGGATTTACGGTGTCAGACAAGTTAATATTTTTTCAACAGATGTTTTCAGTCATTTTTTTTACTTTGAAAGGCAAATTGTGAACTTCCTGTTTGAGATAGGTCAGGGGTGTCAGCGCGAGATTTGTGGGTCTCATTGAGACGAACATTTTGATGTTGGTTTGATCTCTGTAGGACATTCCTACTGGACGCTAGGGCCATTTTAGTGTGTTTTTCTGTAACTAGGTGGCGCTAGAGAGCCTTTTCTTGTTTTTTTTTCCATTTTATCAAATTTTTCGCCGATTCGGACGTGCGTGCCAATTTTGGTGAGTTTTTGAGCGTGTTTAGGGGGTCTAATTAAGGCAAACGCGTTGGTCAGGCAAATAATAATAATAATAATAATAGGAATAAAGAAAGAAACGAAGCGGGAACAATAGGGTCCTTGCCCTTCGGGCAAGGACCCCTTCTTGCTTTGCAAGTAGGGGTCCTCGGACCCTAATAAAAGGTTCTCTTCTTGTTACAGACAGTGTAAGTAGAAACTAAAGTGTCACTGAACAGCTGTTACTGAAATACGACGATCCTTATCATCTTGGAATAACGAGCTCGACACTATAACACAAGACCATGCAACGATTATTACAAAATAATCACTTTAATTCACCTAAAACGTCTATGGTTGCAGCTGCAGAAGATAAACTCTGCCGGTGAGTCTTGCCAGTTCAGTTTGCAAAATCAATGCTTGACATGGGAATCCCCATTTTTGTCGGAAATAGTTCCCAGTAGAATAAAGAGTTCCGATGGTAAACTTGCAACTCCTATTGGTTTAAGCAATACGTGTGTGTGTGCAAGAACAGGAGTCTTGACAAGAGCAGCTGAGTGAACCATCAGCTCAAACTCTTCTTAAACTGGAACCAATTACCTGCATTCTTTAGTGGTAGAGAAAATGTGTTTCTAAAAGCGAGAATGAATAGTAATCTTATAGCAGAACTGTTCTGAAGTAGGACAAACGATGACATTTTATTAGATGTTGTGAATTCAATCCGCCATGTTACGTCACTCACAAGCAATAGTAAAACAGATAAGAGTCTTTTCCCTGCTGACCCTGACCACCCACATGCGATCACAGGTGCCTCGCCGCAGCCCACCGGCAGCCTTAGCTGTTATTTAGTAAAACATTCACAGCTGTTCTGCTCGCTCACCCCACTAAAACTATGTCCTCACTGACAGAATAAAGTGTAAGACTTTACCGCTTAGTGTCATCGAATCTTTAGATGTTGTTGGGATTAGATGGGAAATCACAGGTTTCACATTTCAGGATGTGCCTTTTATCTCAACCAACAACCTAACAGCTGTTTTCCACTTTAAAGATGACATTAAAGATAGCGATGCACCAAAAAACTTTGAATTTTGGAGGAGTTTGCTGTATTAGGTGTGTTTACAGTAAAGTGATACAACAAATATATACACATATGACCTAATGTCATTACACAGGGTGCTGACAATTTAAAGAGTGTCACGTTACGCCGTCATTTAGGCAGGTAAAAGGCTCACTCAGATCAAAATCTATGTTTCCTGAGGGACCGAGCCAAGAAGGCAGCATAAAAAACAGATTTAGGGTAATAAAGCCAATGCCAGCAACGGAAAGAGGCCACAAATTCTTTTAGACAGGGCACACATAGCATAAAGGTCAGCTTGCTTATTTATATACACACATCTTCTATGGAAACTATTCCCTAAATCACTGAGGCTCACTTAAACTTGAACGAAAATTCAAGTAAAGTGCTGGTAGGCACATGATGTAAGGACAACGCACATTCAAAAAGTAGGGTTAACAATTATCAAAGCAATGAGTAAACCCAAGATTAACATCTTGTTTCCTCATAAAAGGAAATATAACATGTACGATTTGTCTCCTCAGGCTTCAGGAGACGGAAGCGGCTTTGACGAAACCAGACCTCCGAAACCAGACATGGAGAAACACAGATGGACGGTACGTATTGTTGAGCTCTTCCACAGAGGCTCATCCTCCTCATTTAAGCTTTGTGAAATTATGTACCATTGATAATGGCACTGTTCCTCGCAGCTAATTTGCTCCTCTTGATATACTGTGGTGTGAACATAATGCTCTGCTCTGCCGTTTTTCCCTCGGGAATTGCTTTGCAACAGGCACTCAGCGAGTTTGCTGGAACACTGCAGATAAAAGGCGTATAAGACATTGAGAAGAAGAGCGAATGAGGAGCTGCCTAAAGAGGATTCACACAGACGATCAAGTCAGGCGTATATAAATGGCCGACAAGGATTATTAACAGCAGACTGTGCTTCTGCAAACCGAGTCCTCCAGTGTTAGGTACACCTCTGATGTCTCAGGTTACTCGGCATAAGTGAGTGAACACTCGTGGCTCAAGGAGGATTAAAAACTGCTGAGTTGATGTCTGGAAATTGAGCTGCTTCTGTCTTATACATTTGGAGACAAAGACTTTTAACATAAAGAGTTTCCTCCTGGAAAGGAAATGACCTTGCTGAGTCAAAACATGCCGATTCTAAAGGTTAGGGATTTGATCCAGTTTAATATTTTCTTTGCTAATAGTTGTCCAAATAGAGAGAAATGCCTGAAGAGTTCAATGTAGTTCTTTAACATGAACATGTGGGGGATTTACCTGCAGTGACGTGAGGTGTGTGGGTTCTATCTGGACAAAGGAATGAAGGAACTGATCTTGCAAGCAGGTCTACAAATCATAATCTCTTTGCCATTCACATTTGCACTGTTCAAAGCAGCGCCACTCTCATGCTAATTATTCCCACTGCCATCTCCTTCTCTCAGTCTGTTGCTATCTGTTGGTGGCTTCCTTCATCTCTCTACTTGCTGCTCTCTCTCTCTATCTCCAACCCTTTTTGTCTGTCTGTCTTCTTCCGTCTGCTTTCTGTCTCTCTCACACTCACTCAGTCAGATTCCACAGACACCCACTCACATCTTCCCACCCTCACAGATAGCCACTGCGATGCAGCACAGCCTCCACCCTGCACCACCATGCGCCGTGCATGCATCCCACTCCCACTCGCAATTATAGTGGAGAGTTAGAAAAACCAGATGGCAATTTGGACTCGATCTGATCCAAGTCAGAGCCCCCCCCACTCGCCTTCAGGCTTTGTTATTCTGACTGGTTTCTCAATCAGCTGTGCGTACAGGAACTGACAGAGGTGGAAAGAAAGTTGGAGAAGGAGGCGGGGAGGGCTGGGTCGGGTGCTTCGAGTCGGAAGTCTCTTCATCATTACTTAGTCCGCCTCGATGCCATGCTGCTTTTACGAGGGGATTTTTCTGTCTGTTCAGTAGTCATTCATTAGCATCGTGTAATATGCAATGTAATGTAAAAGACAACAGCTGGCATCTAATGCTATACCTGCCGATGTTTTTCCATCTGATGATGATCCGTTCACACAAAGTATAACTTACACACCTCGCAATCGTCCAACCGGTGCAATTAAGGCAAGTCGAGGCAAAGACAAGGCAGAGAGGGAGAGTTGTAGAAGTGAGACTTTCCATTTTGTCATCCTGGAATTCATGGTGATAGATGGCAGCGCCAGTCAGTCATCCTTAACGGTGTCACTGCTGGAAATGAAGTGTCCCCTTCAGCAAGAGGCCCAGAGATGAAATGTTTCCAGAGTGTAATTATTCTAACAAATGATTGTTTCACTCAGAGTACAGCACTTCAGATGATGTTTTCTCTGATTAATGGAAACAATTTAATAAAGGAAAAGATTTTTAGCTTTTCCAAATGTGAACAATTTGAATGAATTTTACATTCAGGCTGCATCAAGGCTTCATTTCTTTGTGATTTTCTTTCTTACATATTTCAGACAAAAAATAAACACATAAACATGCACAGAGTCTAGGACCAGAGAGTTTGGGGGAAATATGTCATTGCAACTTTTCTGCCAGACAGGGCGAGTGCCTTTTGACTTGCGATATGATTTGTTATACGTCTTAGGAAGAGGATAACGGACACTGTAAAAACAAAAAAACACTTTGAGCTCTGAATTTTTTTTAAACAGAATTCTGACTAAAATCTGTGAAAAAAAGTCAAAATTCTGAGTTGAAGTCAGACTTCTGAAACTAAAGTCTTGAGGTTTCCATTCTGACTTTAATCTAAATGAATCTTCTACAGTTACAACACAGCACCCTGATCCTTGCGTATCGTTGAATATTCGCTGTGTAATAAAAGACACATGATGCAGCAGTACCACATGAAATGTCATCTAAAGTATGAGGAAAGCATAAATTTATGAAACATGACAGTTTAATCACCAGGTCAGACATGATGCATAACATATATCCTAAGCTGCTCTTATGATTTTCTAATTGAAATTGTGATTTGAAATTGATTACCTGGTAAACAAGCTGTAAAATCATCTAACAGGACACTCCGTAGGCTTTTATGGAGATTTGCACAACTGTGTCTTTTACATTTGTCGAGCAGAATAAGCCAAGGAGAATACAGTATGTTGTGATTACACGTAGCAGAGGGAATTCAAATCTATACAACTGCGTGCTGTGTAATTATCTGTTGCTCCACTGTAATAATCTCTCTATGGTTGTGGGCGAACGTTTTCCTGAAAGCAGTTTTATGACGCGGGAGGTAAATTCTACCTCATGTTTTCACTTTTCCTCGCAGCAGTCACCTTAAATCTGCCAAATCTGACCAAACAACACACACATTTTGACCAGAAATCCATTGCCTCAACATGACTGTTAACCCCACAGCACAGCATAACTGTAGCATCATGTGCTACTTGCATTAACTGTACTCGTCTTTAAGTTACGCTTCCAACCAGTCTTTTTTTTTTTTTGTAAGCAGCAAAGTATCAGATATCAATCTAAGAAAAATGGACTGTCTTGCCCTTTGTTTGCAGTCAGGTCTTAATGAGACGTAGCGTGATTGTTTCTGCATAAATCATGTCTTTTTTTCCCCCCAAAACTCTGTTACAAAAGAGCCAACAGACCGACGAGAGTCAAAGTTTGGTTGCTGCATTTTATCAACAGCTGGACTGTTTCTCCTTCCTTCGCCAACCACAAAAATGCACAAATTTAAGAAGTTTCCTCTGTGATACTTGAGAGGGCATGTGCTGGAAAAAGAAAAAAAACACACAAAAAAACTGCTGCTGCGGAGGTGGGATATGTTCATTGCCGAGGGAGCTGCATACCTGCTCTTAGAATCAGGGGGTTGTGCGGTTCAAATCAATCAGCACCGTGTTCTAAGGATATGAGCCTCCCACCCATCATCCCTTGGCTGTGATGGATCGTTAGAGGAGTGAACAAGCGGGGGTATTCTTTATCACATTAATTCATACATCAACTTAGAAAAGTCAATAGGGGTCTGGCCAAATTCTTAGCATAGTCCGTGCCGTGCAACACAGCGGGGGGAGAAGGTTTTCCCAGAGAGGAAGCTGGTTAATCATCAACAGCGGCATGACTTGGTCCCTTCAGCTCCCCACCAGTTGAATTCCACAGGTGACAATTCAAGGTGGGGTGCTGGTGAAGAATGAGCTACAGAGGAGGAGCATTGTCATTATTTCCTTTCTCTTTACCCAGAGGCAGTTCCCCTCCTCCCAGACTACCTGTTGCTTCTCTCACTGCTGTGTTTTTAGTGACAGAGGATTGGTGGCGTAGTGGAGGCTGGCTCGTCTTTGTCCGCAAAACCTCCCCACACATTTGTTATTACAACAAAAACACGAGTTGAACTATCTTTGCATTTGAATCATTGCACTGGAGTACAAATGATACAAAGGACAATGGAAGAAGGGGAATCTAATTAGACAGAAGCTTAGAGGTTATATTTAAATTAACGATAAGATACTTTCACTTACAGAGAAGCTTAGTTAGGAACTAACATCCTTCCAGTTGCACCTGAGGCAGGCAGACGAAAAGGTGTTTCTAAGGAGCAGCATTTGTGAGTTCTTTTACCCGAGTAATCGACTGATAGAACACCTCTGGTTTGTTTTGCTGTAATAAGGAGACTGAAAGCTATTTTGCAAGAATTGGACTTTTAGAGGAGCATGTTAACAATGCAGCAGCAGCAAAAGGGTGACAACACACATGTACACATTGATGAGCCACCTACCGAATATTGTGCAGGTTCTGACCCGGCAGGGAATGGATGCAGGTCTGTCTGGCACAGGGATCCTCTGGGTCCAGTGGTTTGCCGGCTCAGGCCCCTGAGGATCAGAGATTGATCTGTGTTAATGCCATTTGGGATCTGAGGAGTTTGAAAGCCTGACTCTTTGCCATGAATCAGTTTCTGCTGTTAGCGTGGGAGGTGCGCACGATCTGGAGCTGGTACGCGTCAACGTCTACATGACTGCCGAGACCCGAGGTTTCCCAGCAGAACTGGAAAAAGATGATCACTGCCATTTGCTTCATCTGTCAGCGGTTTTAATGTTGCTGCTGATCGGTGTATATATGTCATTTGAATTTACTGAAACTGAATTTATGAACTCCAGGAGTCACTGTGATGACATTTTACAACTGCAGGCCAGATCAGCGTGTTACACTGGGGGCTGTGTTCTTTGACGGCCCCACTAGGGTTCACATTAGGAAGAGTTTTGCAACAGGACCCAGGCATGAAATTACTAACAAAATGAGTTTGCCAACAAAACGAAAAAACAAAAAGTTTTACTGGGTTTTTACTGCCATGCACATGTTGACTCAATCATCATTTAAAAAGGCCTGGTGTTGAGCTGGGAAACAGTTTTGTTAGTTAGGAAGAGAGCGTTGGCTGCGCAATCCATAAACATTAATGCAGATTAATGGTAAAACAGTGCCGAAACATGAGTCACTTCAGTTGGGATTGTTTGTGATTAATGTTAACAAGGAAAACATTTTCCCACGGAGCGATATTGTTCTCAAGGCTTTTCAGCGTAGAGTTGTAGAGGGAGGAAAGAGAGCCATAAAATGCAGAGAGAGCTCATCACAGCAAATGTCATCCACTGCCCTTTTTAAATATCTGTCTCTGTTTGAATATTTTCCTGCAGACTACTCCTCCGTCTTCTCGCCCCATTCAGCAGCCACCCCTGACCAGGAAAGAGGAGGTAGACATTGCAAGAGAAACAGGTGAGTTCATCTGGATGCATACTTTGTTTTATTTTCTCTTTGTACAGGACAGGATGCCATCAGTTAAAGTCTTTTTCATGCAAACAATGTTTTTACAGATGCCTTTGTAGTGGCCCCTTCGCTGTGAAGCGAATGCCGCGGCCTTTCATGAGTTTTTTCCGATTTTACTTTCAAAGAAGGAAATTAGATGTTGTACTTCCACATGCAGACACATGACTGAGCTCACCTGTCGGGTTTACAGGGAAGTGTTTTATGACGGCACATGGTGGCGCTGAGTTCACATTCCTTCAGCAGGCAAAGCTTAGCTGGTCAGAGCTCGTTAGCAACACGTTTTCAGACATATGTCTCCATCTAGTGGACAACCTGACTCATGTAATGTAGAGCATAGAAGATCCCTCATTTGATAAGACACTTCTCAGGCCATGTAAATTCTATTTCAAGTTCTCTGTATTGTTAAAACCATCATACGAATAAATGTATCTTCTCCATGTCCATCTGCTTTTGACGCACCATCACTCCGACACATGTGCAGCCACACAGCATGCTTCCAGAGCTAAAATGTTGAGCATGTTCAGGATTGAAAAATTTTGATGCCAATATCTGTAATTGTTAATTTTTTAGTAATATTTTAATGTTTCAAAAACCGTATCAGAACTAACTGAGCTTTCTTCAAACCTATTCTCCTTCTCCTGCTCTGATGTGCAGCTACAGACATTTGATTTTTAAATTAGTCATAAGGCTTGTGAGTGTTTTGCTGTGCATCTGCTAATTTTTTATTGTTTAGGAGAGTTTTATCTCCAAACTAAGAGTCTTAACAGCTTTTTAGAGATTTAATGTCATGTGACACCCTCTAGTGTGGAACAGTTTTTGGAGACCTGAAAAATTGCTCTCAGCTGCACAGATTTATCTCCATAAGCACATAAACACATCAGAAAGTAGCCACAAGCCTTTTCTCTCTCACAATGCCAACATCTAACGCAACTGAGGTTTTGTATTTGAGATTTAAGCCTTAAATAACACAAAACGTACTATCAAGCGCTCAATCACTACAGGCTGACTTCCTTCAACTTACAACATCTTCCTTCCTGTTTACACTCAGGTACAAATCAGGTACTCAAGCTCTGACTAAAAATATCAATATCACAGCTAAAATTGTGAAGGCCAACAAAATGTGACGTTGTGAAGTCAAACAGTGATTCAGGTTTATATCAGCAGATGGCACACCAAGTTGGTAGTGGAAGTAGCTGCAAAAGCTCCTTATTACTCACACTACAGCTCCTCCAGGTATTGCACATTTTAGTTTTAATTCATATAAAGTCTCACATCTAGAGGGATAATATTTGATGATGGTTTGTCACCATTTTATTGAGAAATGAAACCCGTACAAGTCACAGTGAGTTCTTTCTGCTGCTGTGCACCATTTTGTAGTTTTCACAGGATATGCTAAAGGAAACTGTCAAGTGTCACGTACCGTCCTTTACAAACCCCTGCTACAAACATTGGTAGTATCAAGAGTCACTCATCAGACAATAACTTTATGACAACTAGTGTGAATGTAATTATATGTGTGCAGCCCATGCATCAGTTGTAGAACAAAGACGGCATCTTGTCCAGTGTCTCATCAGATCAACCAGAATCTAGTCAGTTTAACTGAATTCAAATAAATAAATCATGACTGGGAATGATTACTTTTCCGTATTTTGTAGTTGTATTATATTTACACTATCAGCGACATTTAGTCTTCACAAGTACGGAGCATTTAAAAGCATTCTGTTGCTACTGTCTCTACTTCAAACCCCACAAAAAATCAAAAGCAGAACCAGATTCAAACAATCGAAAACTGTTCCTGTATCAAATCATAATAAACAAAACAACAGACCTGTTTCCCTCCCGTTACTAAAGCATCCATTTCTTAGAACATCGTTATTCTCGAGACTTGATTCAACAATGTTTTTTTTTTTTTTTTTTGTATTATGTTCAGCAAGTGACTCCCAGCACGTTTCAGATTCTGTGGAGTCCAGGTCTGGACTTCCCGGGTCACCAGGTGGGTTGAAGGGGGTTGAAAACAGACAAAGAATAGGCATTAAGGTGTCTTTTCTATTCTCTGCCTGCTGACTTCATGTGCAAGCCTCAAGCAGGACCTCACATGGATTTAAGAAGCACACAGACACAGGGATGCATGAACTTAAAGTATCTACTGACTGCTCTTAATATTCACAGGGTGGTGGACAGGTTTGTGTAGCAGCCACAGAGGTGTGGAGCTCTGGCTGTAATCCCCAGAAAAACTCAACTTGCAGAGAAAGTAAAATAGAAGAGGTTTATAGAGGAGAAACGAGTATGAAAGGGAGACAAGAAAATAGAAAAAGGGGAGCACTATTTTAGTAAAGCTTCACATGGGAAAAAAAACAACAACATGGATTTGGACAAGCATGACGAGTGCTGCATATCAGCTTAGGCTACTGGTGCTACGATATGTGGCATTGGTTTATTCCACACCGATTTATCTTTTCAGGTACAGTTTTTTTTCCCCCTTCCTGAATTCTCACCACTAACCTTAAATATTAAAAGATGCCCTTGTGGTTGACATGATTTTGCTGTGCATGTCAGCGATGTTGAAAAAAATGCAACTGCTACACAACAGACTGCATTTCATGCAAAGTGACGCATTCTGTAGGAGAATGTGAGGTCAAACTGGGTCACGCCAGTAAATAAATGTCGGGATGGTAGCGCATGCAGGTGTGGGAAGGAGTGCTCAGTTACCACCTTCCTTGAACCCTCCACATGGCCGGTGAATTACAGCCACGCACACTGAGAATGTTGCTCCGCTGAGCAAAAAGCAATTTATTTTTCCTCTTTTCTCCTCTTCTTTTGGGAGCAGGAAATGTCCTGTTTATTGTCTGGGATGTGGGATACACTCGTTAATCATTTTCATGAGGCTATTAATGACTCTGTCCTTTGTCATTGTTTTCCAGGGCCAGGAGGGGCTAAAGGAGAGCGGGGCGACAAAGGGGACAGAGGAGAGAAAGGAGACAGAGGTCCAATAGGGCCGAAGGGAGAGGCAGGCTCTGGCTCCAGCTCACGAGGTGGAGCCCGTGGAGAGAAGGTTTGGACTTTTTGTTTTTTAAGTTCTGCCTTGGTAGTGGATAAAATACATGTTAGCTGGATAGGTGGGATGCATCTTTTTAGTCTAGACCAGGAGTGGGCAATCCTGGTCCTCGAGGGCCACAATCCTGCATGTTTTAGATGTTTCCTTCTTCCAATACACCTGATTCAAATGATCAGCTCATCATCAAGCTCTGCAGAAGCCTGATAACGATCCTGATCATTTGAATCAGGTGTGTTGGAAGAAGGAAACATCTAAAACATGCAGGATTGTGGCCCTCGAGGACCAGGATTGCCCACTCCTGGTCTAGAGAGTCCCTTCTGAAGGTTGTAATAGATAATGAAATCTCCCAAAGGGACACTAGAGGGAGCTGCAAGTCCTAGTTTAATATATCAAGACTTTTTTTTTTCCTTTTCTTTTTTTTTTTTTGGTAATGTACCACGTTAACACACTGTACACTTTACTCAGATAAAAAACTGCAAGTTTGTTAAATTTGCCATTGTGTGGTTCAAATGTCATCACAATGGGTCCTCTGAGGTCTGGGTTTTTGTTGGCAAGACACTGATTTGATTTTCTTCTATCAAAAGACAACCTACATAGAACACACTTAGGCAAATATGGACAAAAAAACAGGAAAAAAAAAAGAAAACATGCACATATGTAATACAGATCCAGTCTAGCACAGGACGCAGACGTACAAAGGCCCAAAATAAAATGTGAAAGTGTCAGTAGAAAGTAAATGGTTGTAAATTATTATAATTTTAAGTTTTCTACACATTTTGAAAACAAACATTTGAACGTGTAGCTCTGTAATTCTGCTTCATTCTCACTGATGCCATTAAAGTGTCAACACTCAACATGAGGTTCTCAGCTGTACGTCCAGAGCCTGTCTAGTGTTTCATGTCTCGTGAATACTGTTGGCACTGACTCCACTGTTTGTTCTTCTAATTTTTAGGGAGAACCTGGAGAAAAGGGATTGAAGGTAAGGGACTGATGACTCATTTGCCTTTTGGCTCCTTGATTTGAGTTTCTGTGGCACAGTTAATGCACCGTTACTAAACTTAGATACTGATTTTTAGTTTGTCTTCAAGGTTTCTCAGGTGGACAGGTTAAAGGTCCCTTAAGTTAAAAATTCACTTTTGTGTTTTCAGCTTGCTGTACACTTGAAAGTTTAAATTAAAAGCTGTTAAGATTAGGAAATTTCGGCCATACGTCAGTCCCCCACCCACTGCGAGATGGCCTCACAGCTTTATAAGCCAGTCTGAGCTGGACCCAGGCGTGGACTGAGACAGCCAGCAGCCACTTCAGAAACATCTCCAAGCTTCAGCTCTGCACAGCTGATTTTAAAACTGCAACACTGTCTGACACGCTCACCATTCACACGAGTTAAACACAATGGTTGTGCTGTGAATTCAGCGATACTTCCACAGAAAATGATCGCTCAGGAAGAAAGTTAGAAGCGATACAAAGTTGTGGCCTGGCACACTTATTGTCACACACAACTGTTTATCAATCACAGGCGATGAGGGTTCAGAACAGCCCCGAACCAGAGGCTGAACAGTTAAACCTTCTTTTCAGTAATTTGTCTGTGGGGGCATCTAAGACTTTCATTAATTTGACTAAAAGGGGCACAGTATGGAGCCTGTAATAAACTATGTTAATCCCATAGTTTTTATTTCTTGTAAAGTTGAAAGTAATT